GAGCCCGTGACCTGCAAGCACAATATTTGATCTGGGATCTAGGGCGGGCACCAGCCTTTGCAAACCAGGAGACACACTCACATGCTGCTTGAGACACGGGAGATCCCGGAGACGAGCAGCGAGGCTTTGGAAAGGAGGCTCTTAGCTTGGTAAGTCCATCTCTATATTTATTAAGTTTGGTTTGGTTTTTTTTTGTTTTTTTTGAAGCCTGATTTCCATACCCTTGCCTCGGGCGGCTGCCACGCAAAGCACATGCCAACGACACGGGTGGCACAGTTTGAAAGCCAGCGCTCCCGAGCCGCGGCGGTGGGGAAGCCCTCTCCTGCTCTTGCCCCTCTGGCAGCTCCTTGCCCACTTGGGTGGGAGCTGGACACCCACAGCCATCGACACCCAGGGGTGGGCAGTGCCTGCTCGCTGCACCCCCTGCCCGGCACAGGGGCGCAGGGGAAGGGGGAGCCGGGTTCACGCCTGGCACACCAGCGATGGGCCAAGTCCATGGATGACCACAGACCATGAAGCCCCTTGCTCCAAAAGCTGGTCCCTCTCAGGGTGAGGAGCTGACCCCATTAGCCCGGCAGCCTCTGGCATGGGAGCACGGGCACCAGGAGATGGCACAGATCTCGTGGCCAGCACACCCAGCTCCCATCCCACCCCAAAACCAGGGCTGAAGCCCACTGGGAAGGGGAGACACAACCTTCAAATGAAGCGGGGGGCAGCGGTGTCTGCTGAGGACAGGCTCTGGGGTTACCGGTGTGTTGGAAAGGTGGGGGGACCCCACGGATCAGTCCTGCCCCGCACAGAGGGACCCCCTGGGAAGGGGCTGCCCAACAGCTCGGCAGGGAAGCCCCTGGGCAGAGCAGGGCAGCTCTGGTATTTCATCAGGCAGAGTGCCCTGGAGCAGGAGGGAGGAGGAGAAGAAACTCCTCTGCGACTGCCAAGCTCCTCCAGTGCCCACAGCATCCCGGAGGACCACGTCTCATCTGCCCCTCGGCTGCACGAGCACCCGGCGGGGGAAGGAGGGAGAGAAGGAGAAAGCGAGGGAGCCATGCCTGCCATCTCAACCCTTATTTTCTTCCAACACGAGCAGCCTGCCAGGGTGCCTCGGTGGCAGGGCTGCCGCTGCCTCGGAGCAAACTGTGCCCTCTTTGTCTGCCGGGCGAGACATCCCCTCCTCACTGCGGGGTGGGGACACGGCGAGGTTTCATGGGGTGACCCCAGGGCCACCCCCTGGCATGGTAGAGGGGGGACCGTGGCCCACGCTTGCACGTTGCCTTCACCGCAGCAATGGAGCTGGCAGCGATGCGCCGGCGGCCTCACAGCTCCACGCTCCCAGCCACGTATATAGGAGCCAGCAGGCAGGAGCGACTCCTCTCCCCCTCCGAAAAGCACGGCCCCGCGTGTTTCCTGGAGGATTTTCAAGCTGCCTCGCTCCAGGCCGCTCTGCGTGCTCCTTTAGCCCCCAGACAAGGAGTCGGGATGAACGGCCGTAGCCGGAGTCCTGCCGTCAGCACCACGGTGTGCTGGCCCTCTGCCCTGGGCATGGCACGGGGCGGCTGCGAAGCCCACGCCAAGCCAAGGGGCTCGGGGACAGGTTTGCCTTGCTCTGAGCCCTCAGCCCTTCTGACTGTCGGCCCCTCGGGCAGGCTGAATTTCAGAAGCAGGGTCCAAGCACCAGGTCTGGTGACGGTTCCCTCTCTCCCTGGTCACACTGGCCTCAAAGGGCTGGTGGATGCTGCCCCTTTTCATGTCGGGGCTGAGATTGGAAAAAATCTAAGCTTGAAAGTGGTTTCATTTCAAAAATCAGCCAGAACTTGTTTACCAGGACTTACATCAGTCCCCAGCAGCATGAGCATCCTGCGTTTTTGTGGGGGAAGGGAGAGCTGGATGAAACCCACAGCAAATCCTGTCGCCAGCGAGTGGAGCATAAATATAGCTCCATCGAAACATGCCTTGAGCTCCATCAGCCTGTCCTCGTGGCTAACGCTCTCCTCTCCTCGGCCCGCGGGGGGGCCGCGAAGGCAGGGGGTGGCCGAGTCCTCTCTCCTCCCTCCTGTGCAGAGCCAGCAGAGGCAAATCCCAGTCACCTCGAAGCAGAGCTGCGTGACCCCACACAAATTCAGACCACGTGTCCCATATCTCCATCCTCTGCTCAGTTGTAGCAGAAATACCCTTAAGTAAAGATTTTGCAAGCAAACATCCACTGGGATGGAGGTTTCTAGCAGGCCTGAGGTGAAAAGGGGGAAGATCAGGTAACTGCAAACAGGGGACGTGTCTGCAGCCGCGGTTTTTTGGGTAGGATTCACTCAGGTCCCCTGGTTCTCCAGCTCTGCTGCCAAGTGCCACCAACCCCACACAGGGCTGCAACCACATCCAACCCCGGCCACGGGGTGCAGCTCGCCTGCCTCTAGCCCTTACATCAGACCCGACACTGCTGACGGTTTCCTCCTCATTTCTCCCCCACCCAGGTCCCTCCAGCATCAGCACCATGCGTTGGGCCACCGTCCTGATCATCGCTGGGCTCTGCGGAGCCTCCCTGGGCCAGTATAATGAAGAAGAAGACATGGCTTGGTTACAGTACTACATACGGCAGTCCCGTATGTCCTCCTATAACTACATGCCCTACTACGAGGATGAGAACACCCCTTACGTGTACTCTTACCTCCCAGCTCCAGACACAGAGGCAGAGCCCGGCCCTGAACCTCAGCAAGCCTCTTCCTGGCAATGTCCCCAAGAGTGTGATTGTCCCCCTAACTTCTCATCAGCCATGTACTGTGACACCCGTAACCTAAGGTACCTGCCCTTCGTGCCTTCCCGGATGAAATACGTCTACTTCCAGAACAACCAGATCACCGCCATCCAAGAGGGAGCTTTTGACAATGCCACGGAGCTGGAATGGCTCGCACTGCACAACAACCAGATCACCAGCGAGAAGATGGGCAAGAGGGTCTTTGCCAAGCTCAAAAACCTGGAGAGGTTGTACATGAACAACAACAACCTAACCAAGATGCCCAGCCCCTTGCCCCGGTCCCTGAGAGAGCTCCACTTGTCTTACAATCAGATCTCCAAGGTCCCCTCCAACGCTCTGGAGGGCCTGGAGAACCTCACAGCCCTGTACCTCAGCCACAACTACATTTTTGAGATGGGAGCATCCCTCAAAGGGCTCAAGTCCTTGATCCTTGCTGATCTGAGCTACAACCACCTCAGGAAAGTCCCTGATGGGCTCCCAATGGCTTTGGAACAGCTCTACCTAGAGTACAACTACATCAACACCATCCCTGATGACTATTTCAAGGTCTCTCCCAAGCTGCTGTATGTACGGATGTCCCACAACAGCCTGACAAATCAAGGTCTCTCTACCAACACTTTCAACAGCAGCAGCATCCTCGAGCTGGACCTCTCTTACAACAGGCTCCAGAAGATCCCCCGGGTCAGCACCAACCTCGAGAACCTCTACCTTCAAGGGAACCAAATCAACGGTGAGCAGAAATAGGTTAACCAAATTGGGGGTGCAATAGAGGGATGGGGAGATGGGGATGCAGAACCCGTGCCTCCCTGGGGGAGACTACCGGGGGTAATGGTTTGAGCAGGAAGCTGGAATTTGGGAGACTTATAGGTGGCCCTCAGCAAGGTAGGAATGGGGTGCATTGTGTCCTAACACACCTGGAGCCAAGGGGCTCCCAGCTCTGACCACTCTTCTCTGATCCACGGAGCCATTGCACTGGTTTACCGAGCACTTATCAGAAGCCTGAGCATCTTCTGGTTAGAAATGCCAGAAACCAGCTGTGGGTAGAAGCTGATGCACAACCTGGGCAGGGGACTATGGCTTTAGTCCGGCATTGCACACAGGCTGAGGGGTCACCGACAGAGTGGACAGAAGTGGGGGGTCCCCACAGCCACACTCACTACACGTGGGAACACGTATCACCCCGGCCAGCGCTAATGGAGGGGACAGGGATGTACCCTGCGGTGCCCGGGGCCAGCGCAGCCCCTTCTGCCCACCTCCCTCCCCGCTTTGCAGGGCACCGGCACAGCCCAGGCACAGTCCCTGGCCCCAAAGCCCCCCCAAGGGTGGTGGTCTGCAGCCGAGGGGCACATCCTTGCCAGGGCTGGGACAAACAGGAGCTCTTAGTTATTAGAGCCATCAACGCAGCATCTTCTGCCAGGACTAAAATTCTCTCCACTTAATACACAAATAAATAAAAGGAACAGATTGTTCTGGGGCTGCTATTTATAAAAATAAGCTAGAAAAAAAAACCAAACCCAAGCAATCTCCTGGAAAAATCCAAGCTTA